CAAAGTGAGGGGTGAGACCCCTTTAATCGGCAGCAGTGGAGAAATTGCACTGGATTTTAACATTTAACACTTTGTTCTATGAGAATAGCAAAATCACAGCATTTCAAATTCAGTTTATGTGGGCAGATTCATCATCCATCCTATCTACACAGGGGGCGCTATAGAACGTTTGTGAACAACTGCCTGAAACAATGCTGTAATTTGAAGGTAGTTTTGTGTAAAGTACCAACTTGCCAGAAAATGTATTTATTCTTAAATTGACATTTACAGTATTCTGTGTTTTTTTTTTTATTTGTAAAGGACCGGCCAAAAACCTTAAATTAACTTTAAATTATTTTTAAAAAATCCTATTTTCTTTTACATTTTAAACCATGTAACCATGAGCTGCACCTCCTTATGTCCAATAAAACAAAACCTGAACTTTCAAAATCTATTGATCTAAAATTAAAAAAGAAATCCCCACTACTGAGGAGATGCATAATAAATTAATTAAAAAAAAACCTTTGAAGTGTTTCAAACACCCATAAAAGAGCTGGTTAATTAATAAACATACGTTGGCAGTGAAGTGAAGGAGAACCCTTCAGAGAACCCTTCAGAGAACCAGCTGTCAATCTTTAGGTAATTATTCGCCCTGATTGGTGACTGTTACCCACTGCTACAGCGTGTTCCCGAGCTGCCATCGGTACCCAGTACCGGACATGTCGACATCATGTGTGAACCCTCGTCAGGCCGACACATACACGATGACACCCACACCCTCTGGGATGGAAATAAATGTCCCGAAGAGTGGCAGAGCAGCCTGGAAAACATCTCATCATTATCACTTGATGAGCAGCCAAGACAAACTGTGCCAAAAGCAGCACCCCCCTCTGATAGAACAATGAATTACGGTTAAAGCATAAAGATCGACGCTTCAAAAATGTCAGATCCAGACTCTTCCAGTAGCAGCTGGAAAAATACAGAAATCATAGATTTCCATATAAAAAAAACTTAGCATATCTCCAACTGAAGTGTCCATCCATCATTGGTTGACAGGACTTCATTAAAAAAAAAATTAAACATAAAATCTGAATATATAGTAAATCTGCATGTATTTAGAAAAAAAAAATCTAAAGGTATAAACATAGTTCTATCTTTGGAATACTACTAGTCATACTACTGCCACTACTGCATTTATTGGTAGTAGTAGTGCATGCCTAACTGTAGCTAAATACATATTTATATATCATATATTATCTTTCTCTGCTAAACCTAATGCCTTAACAACAGCATTAGTTGATTAGATGCTTTCTGCTGCCCCAAGTGGCCACAAAAAGTTATTTCAACCATCTGCTAAAACATTAACTACTCAGTGACTAATTTGTCGCGACAGCAGACGTTAGCTGCACAACTGTTTTCACTGGTCTCTCTTTTAATCTGTTCTCGTCACAGCGTTTGCTGCCAAATCTCTGGAGCAACACACCAGACGGTGGACGGAGCTCGAGGACGTCTTCGTCACTCGCTACTTAACACCTTCACTCTCACAACAGCCATTCCTACTGAGTTTGTCTTCACCTTTGCACCTTATTGACTCTATCACACTTTGGCTGCAGCGTTGTGTCACTCTCTCTCTCTCTCTCTCTCTCTTTCTCTCTTCCTCTTCGCCTTCCAACTCCCTCTCCCTCCATCTCTCACCTCTCTTTCATGTGACCAGACATGGGGCTCACATCCATGTGACAGAGTTCTCAACCCTCCAGATGACACAGTCTTTGCCACAGATGCTCAACTTCAAAGGCTGGGGAGAAGCAGGGTGAAGGTGTGGGGGGGTGGTGAGCATCCCTAATAGAGGCAAGTGGTCCAACACTGACACACAATCACACACACACTCTCACTCACTCATTATCACACGACTTGGTTTTAATGAGATGATCTGACATTCAGAGAGCAGCAACACAGTTTCACACCGTGACATTTGGGCTCTGCAGAAAAGTCATCATCAAGAGGTCTGTATCTCACTGATAAATATTTGATTTAAAAATAAAACAATCCACTGTGTAACATTTCGAATGGTGCATTGGCAGAATCCACAGGTAATTGCCGTTTGTCAACACTGTGGCCTGGACAAACAGAGTCACAACAATCAAAGTATTTTTTAGGAATGTGTCTGAATGTAGAGTTTTTCTCCGGAAACAAAAGAGAACCACATCATTTCTGGTATTTACACCAGCAATTTCCTTGGAAAGCTTTGAGAAGAGCCCCCGGAGACAAGTTGGCTGTAGTGGGAAAAGAGTTTTAATCTGAAATCAATTAGAGTAAAAAAAAAAAAAACAGTTTGGAGACGCAGAGAAAATGGTTTTGAATTTTCCACCCAGACACTGTGCCTTCAGAAATCTGTCTGATTCTCCTTGTTGCCTAATCTGCGTGGGACTTCCTCCTCTACATCTCCAGGGAGAATTATTTTTCACTGGAGTCTGTGTCATCCTGTTGATACAGTAAGCCCTGAGCTCGGGACATCAAGCAACAGGAGATGGAACTGCAGATATCAGGAGGGTTTTCTGTGGAGGTCTACGTCAGTACTGAAGCCATGAAACCAAGAGGCCAACACACACGAGCCCCAACATTTAAACCATAACTGGATGAAAGTCCATCCTCCACCAATCACTTTTGGGATATGAGACACACTCATCCAATCCCCTCTGCTCCAGGAGACCGACCAGAACAGAAGAAGTCTTTCAGAGTCAGTTCCACTGTCGCTCCATATTTAATCAGACTAATGTCTTCTCTGGTGTAGCAGTAATGTGAAAAGACAAGGTCTCTAATGTTGACTGTTCCTTGTTCATGGAATGGTCCAGACAGAACACACAGGAGGTTCTGTAGCTAAAACAAAATACATAACATTAACTAGGTTAAGGTCACTAGGTCACTAGTTAAACATTCAAGTTTGAACAGAAAAACAAACGAGTGGACACGTGGATGGACACGCTCACAGTACGACATAATATTTCACTCACACTGAGAGTCCTCGATCTGACGACCTCGGGGGGATTCACCTCCAACTATATGGCTCTCAAAAAGCACCACATTTTTTATGCACGCTCACTTGCAGGAACACGTGCGGTCTACGTCTACCTCGATACACCATCTAACATCCAACACACACAGGACTGTGTGTATACTGTATACCTGTAAAAGTCAGAAATCACTGGAAGCATAAGGACAAATGTCTATGAAGATTCTCAGTCATCCAGGTCATGGTCAAGGTTGAAAAGTTCTCTTAGGCAACTGGACGTGAATTTTCTAAAAGAAGACGTTTTACGTGCGGTTAAAGTGTAGAAAAACCCACATTCTACTTTAAATATAGTACGTGGATTTAGGAAGTAAAGACCTTGTTCCAGAACAGTGTTAATTAAAGCCACAGATACTGGGAATGAAACATCACTCTGTAACGTGACTCTGCACAACGACACTCAACGTGTTCAGGAAACACAGCTGCCTAGATCTGGGCTTCCACTGGGCTGTGACGCTCAGGTGACAAAACAGTTTGTTTTGTTTTTTGGAGTTTTGTGAAGTTTAGGATTTTTTGTGTTATTTATAACAATGAAAATCTACAGTAGTGTTTTATAAACACCTGAGGCCTGAGTGAGGGAATAGTAAAACAGCCATATTAAATTTAAAAGTGTAAAACAGCCACAACATCAGTGGCTGTTTTACACTTTTACATAAAAACCAGCTAGCTTAGCACAAAACCAAACAGTTGAAACTCTGACTGTGCAGTAACACAGGTGCAGTGAGAGGCAGAACGTTTAATGGAGGTGACGAGCGGCTATTCATTCATCACAGCGTTGGAGCACGCTGCTTTTGTTCCGCTGATTTCAACCCCCGTGTTTCGCACAATTAACAACAGAGCAAACTGTCAGTGACTATTGTGCGCTGATTTATGGAAATCAAACAATGTGCACACTCTTCCCACTATTTCTACCTTCTCTCACCTCGACCTCGTACGCAGTTAAATATTTAACATTGGTTTGTAAGATTTGAAGCAAAGAAAAATATGAAATTGATCTAAAAGTGAGATAAAGTTTGCCCCTGCTGGCCAACAGTGGTACTTCAGCCACATGTGATTTAAGAGTCACAGAATTCATTTACTGTTTGTTTGTTTGTTTTTTCCAGATTCATGGTCAACAGCAACACAATAGAAGGGAACATTTAGAGTAACTTCATCCGGCTTCAAAAACATCCAAACAGTGTGAAAGAAACTAAACTTTAGAAAATGTCTTTGCCTTTTTTTTCTATAGTCTGCTTTGTTTGCAAGTGGCCTTGTTGTCCTCTTCAACCTCCACCATCTCCATCTTCCCTCCTTTCAATGGCATCCTCCCTTTTGTCCTTTTGTTGCTACTGTCATTGTACAATATAGAATAATAAAAGTGTAAACTCAGGGTTGCATTCCGGCGGAGGTGTTTTAAAAAGTCGGCTGAAGGAGGAGAGGAGCAGCAGGAGGAGACAGCAGATGGAGAGGAGGCATTCATGTTCTTGGACTGAGTCGCTGAGTGGAATTTATGAAATAGAATTCACGTAAAATAAAGGATGTTTCAGTGTGTTGTGACAATGCACTAAAATGATCTTTTAGTTATTTGTTTTGGATTTTATTTCACTTCATTTAATTAACTGTTTTTACAATATCTGAATAAACTACTTGTAATCATATATATTACTATATGAATATGTTTACTGATATTCTTGTTTTTTAAGGACAGTAATTGAGGAAAATTAATTTCCCAAAATGTGCGATTTTATTATGTGCATGACATACAATCACCTCCAAGAGTCACTGAGTTATTTATAAGAATAATTGAGATTTTAATATTGATCCAAATGTAAAAATGTGATAAAATAACCCCAACACAATCACTTCACCACAAGTGATGGTTGTCCAGCAGCCACACCTGGTACTGATCAAATCACTGATCATTCCGTGAGCAGCTGCTGCTAACAGCCCAGCTCTTATTAAGAGAGAGCAGCAGCAGCAGCAGCAGCAGTGGTGGTAGTGGTGACGTGAAGCAGAGTGAAGAGCAGTAGCTGCTGTAGGTTTCTCCTGGACCCTCTGGTGTACTCGTCTTATACCCTGTGTGTCTGAGGTGCTGCTGCTCAGCTGACAGCCATGGCACTTGGACAGCATTTGTGGTTTGTTCTAATTCTTCTGTTACTGGATTTCCATTTATGTGAAGAATTAATTCTGATGCCTGTTGTTGCTCTGCTCTCTCCTGCAGGGTTTCTTGGATTTGTCTGTTGCTGTTTAATTGTGCTGCTGGTATATTACCTAAACGAGGTAAAGACTCCCTTCACACACACACACACACACACACACACACACACACACACACACACCCTGATTCAGAGATGTCACCTTCATCATTTGACTCTGATTCTACAGGGTATGTATATCCTCACAAACATGATTCGAAAAACATCCTTGATGAGGAGGAGGAACTGATGATGTCACTGTCGTTTGACGATGCTGACGCTACATACGGCCAATCACCTGATGGCGCTCACGGGGGTTACAACCAGCCTTCGGTCACCGTGCAGCCAGACCCTGTCCTGCCTGATGCTGCAGGGACACTGGGCAGCGGTCAGTTTGAGGCCTGGGGTGAACCACTGCTCTTTCCTCTGAATCTCTACCATCAGTTAGGCGATCCAGCACAGCCTCCGCAGCAACCTGTCCAATCACAGCTACCTTATAATGCTGGTGCTTCCCCAGGCACTGATGGTGCAGCATATAACAGCCCAGCTGCACCAGTTTCACCATCTCAGGCTGAGAATGTTTATCCACAGTCTGGCTCTGAGCACAGTGCTGCTGGTGACAGTGGCTCCAGTATAACAGCAGGTGACCTGCCTCATGTTCCACGTCTGGTTTATGAGGAAGTTTTCCAATATCCCTCAAGTGCAGAGGAGTCTGCAAAAGTCTACACAGCAGTGGACCAGACCCAGCCCCCTCCCTCTCAGCCCCTAGTCCCAAATCACATGCCTGCAGTTGAACTGAAGCCTGTGTCTCCACCTGGTAAGGGAAGCTCCCCCACGGGTAAAAAGGTGACCGGCTCTAAACAGAACACTTACTCAGCCCAATATAAACCAGCAACCACCAAACGAACAAGACCAGTCATGAACCCTAAATATGCAGTTCTGCCGAGAAAAACCAGCTACATCATCCAGTCCAGAGGAGGCTACCAGAGAAGGAAGTCCATCCTCAGCAGCACCTTGTACTCACCAGACCTGTACCCTTCACTGCCTGTCAGAAAACCTGCTGCCCCGAAGGTTGCAAAGACGCCTCAGAGGTACGTCCAACACCTGAAACTTCTACATTCTCAACACTATTGGCCTTTTCAAAGAATGATTTTTCTCAACAGCACAAAGCAGTGAAGAACATGGATTATGTGCCTTGCCCAAGGTAAATGTTATGTTAAATATTTGCCATGTTTAAGTCAAGTCAAGTGAACTAACCTGCTTTTCTGTTTTGCAGGATGATGTGCCTGAAGAAACTCTTACTGAACTCTTACTTGCACAAAATTCTACATGAGCTGGAAAATAAATGAACATGTGATGTCTGTGCATCAATCAGTTTACCTTGGCATTGAAATCCTTGTTTCCCAAATCCCCTGCAACAAAAACATAAAAAACGGTCAGTTTCCATCTACAACTGTATGAAAATAAAGTGGTGAACTACTGGCTGTCAATAAACTGGCTCACCAAGTCACTGCATATTTACTATTGCAACTAAAATTTAAACTTTCAAAGTAACTCACCATATGAAGTCCGTGCAGTGGCTGCAGAAAGTGGGCTGCTTGAAAAACCTCGCAGTAAATTTATGGTTCTTCACTTCGTGCACGTTTTTCTGCCGCAACGCACCTTTGCGGGCAAATCGGTTTCCAACCCCTGCGGAGTCATTGTAGTGTAAATGATGGTCAGCCATAATAAACACAAGACGAAACACAAAAACAGACAAAATCCGGCTTCGTGCTTTTCCGTCAGAACTCGGAGAAGCTCTGTTTCTACGAGGGGCGCTGTGGCGTTGTCAGAGCGCACAGGTCCTTCTGACTGTACCTCAGCTGAGCGCTTCTTTTTCATTCACTCTGACGTCAAGCAACTGTGCATTCACTGCTGTGGGAATTTTTGTGTCCAAGAGATGTCAGATTATACAGCTGAGGTACTATTTCAGAGTTGACAGATTTAAAATAACACGACTGAATGTGTTTACTAGTGTTTTAAATATAATAGATTAGGATTATGATTTCATTAATTTCAAACATCTGCCAATCATTCAGTACCTAATGTAACAAAAGACAAGATATTCTGGAAAAAATAAGGGTGATAAAACATGATAAAAGTTAAAGGCAAATTAACAAAAAATAAAGCTAAAAAAAGCTGATGTATACTTTTTAAAAAACAAAACTTCAGGGCTATTTCAGGGTTCCTTCAGGAAAACCTGCCACATTTTGCCATCAATTCACAAACCATGCCATCAATTCACAGACAACGATTGTGGACACGATTGTGTTACAAAGTTCAAGTTACTAAAACAAAACATACTATACAAACGCAAAACGATTAATGTATTATTAATACAATTATTATTATTATTATTATTATTATTATTATTATTATTATTAGTTCATTCTCTTTCTTCATCTTATTTTGAATATTTCGAGTGTGCAAATTACAAGATTAAGACGAACGGTGACACGAGGAGCACTTAAAGGCAACACTGTAACGTTTGTCGAAGCGGTCCTGGCGTTTTACCGCCATCGTGTGGTTTTAATATACATTGCAAGTTTTAAGCAAATAGCGCTACGTGAAGAGTTATTCAATAAACCCTGCAAAATCAAAATGTCAAGCTTCATTTAATACTAAATCAGTTAAAGTGTGATTAAATACCAAGAGGCAGTAAATTAATAAACTATAAACATCCAAAACATCGTTATTTACTTTACTAATTCAAAATCATCAACTAAATGATTCTGTCAGGATGCAGCGCACGTGTATGCAAATCTTGAATTAACTTCAGTATCGAAGGAGAACCAGAAGAGTCTGAAGCTGCGGCCGCTGCGTCAACAGTTTCAGATGCAGTCTCCATGGCAACAGGATGACGCCGTTAGCTAGGGGAAACGGAACTGACGTATTGTGCGTTTCCAGAAGTTTTTGAATCGTTTTTAGCGGCGAAATCAGTGCCTTTGTAAGTTATTTATTCTTTTGTTCATATTATTGCAGCATTAACGTATTTGTGTTTTGTGCAACACTACTAACTGGCTAATGGTGCACAGGGTTTGTTTCACGAGACAGTTTCTAGCGTCCAACGGCACCGCAGTGTTTTTAGCCTAACTAGCTTTAGCGGATATCAAGCTTGTTATTGTTTTTGTCCGAGGGACAGGCGTAAACAGCTGTTACCAATACTGGTAGTTGTGAGGTATTTATGTTTAGTTACGTCATATCAGGAGCACCCGATCGTATTGCAATGACTTCTGCAGGCTGATTTAGCAAAGGTCAAAGTTCTTTTTCATCGATTTGTATTTTATTAATTTCATTTAAGGTAAATATGAGCACACAGGAAGAGTCCTGGGAGAGACTTGACACCGACTTTGAGCATTTTCTGTTGGACATTAAACCGTATGTCCTCAAGCATCCCAACAAGACAGGTGAGATCTAAATTAAAAGTTACAGCTTGTCATCTTTAGTTTCTTTACACCGTGTTTATCGTGTTCCCTGCTCTCTCCTTGTTATCAGAGCGTCAGCAGTGTGCCATATGGATCAAGAAGTTATGTGACCCAGCCACGTGCCCCTCAGGACTGACAGGAAGGAAAAACCGCAACATTTATGCTCGTCTGCTTCTTCACATGCTCAGAAAAGGAGTCCTTGAAACTCCTTTCACCAACAGACCGGAGCCTGGCAGCCTCAAGATCCTGCCAACCTATATAGTAAGAAATACGACCTTCTCCTTGACACACAAGTTACAGTTTTACTTTTCAAAGTTTAAGATGAATACTGAAATCCTGATGAACTCATTTTGGCATCTGTCTCCTGTCTGGTATTTTCATTTACAGTCTATTTACTTCGAGGAACCTCCAAGCCGTCGGCCTGTGGACCAGGGAGCCGCTCGTCTGCCTGAGTGGGTGACAGGAGAGCTGGGTGGATTTACTGACGAGGCTCTGAGTCTGAGTCTGCTGAAGGATAGAGTCAGTTCTACACCTGTTACAGCCCATCACAGGTACAGTGGAAATCAAATATTGTTTTTTTTTTTATTGTTTTGTCGCTGCCACTGTGGTTCTCATCTCCCTCTTTTTCTGGATTACAGTAGTAAAAAAGAATTCATTTTAGTTCTTCTTGATGTAACCCAAAAATTACATCTCAATATTTTTCTTGTAAATATCAATTTACAATATATATTCAAATATTTTTTCCCTATAAATTAGTACAGTGTCTCCTGTACCATCCAGTCCAGACCACGACTGGTTTCTAAAATGAAAAAACATGAAATAATAATTTTATACAAATATTTGATTCTTATTTCATTTTATTTGAGCCTCTGACCCCCATTATGTCTGTCCAGTCTGACAAATATAGTTGGTGTCCCCTGCTATAAACAGTGCTGTGGTACTCTCTTAATTGATTTTGCCAGACTGAAAATATTGGTCCACGCCGTGATGTATTACATTTAGATCTTTGTGCAAATACAGATTCATATGTAAATGTGTGATTCTCGTTTGCCGAGGGATATTTTCATCTGACTGCAGGCAGTTCTTCTGCTTCACAAAGTGACTTTAAAAAACCCCCAAAAAAACTAATTAACAAGGAAAGTCACGTTAGAGCCCACAGGACTATTATAATCATTCACATATGAGGAATGATCTCCCAGAGTTGGTGTTTAATATCTGCTGTGAGAACAACTGACAAACCATTAGAGCTGGATTTCATTTCAGTGTGTATTTACTAATAATTGTTAAAACAAGTTAAGCTTTAATTAATGAAGACACTCGGATCTCAAAGTGAAATATATTATTATTGAAATATGTATTATTATGTATTGTGAATACAACTATTTATAAAACATATTTGAGCTGCCTGTGCACATATTTTAATCACACTACATTTTTGAGGTGAAGAAATGTATTGCATTAAAATCCCATTTTATGAACTTAAAACTAACAACATTGCATTAAAATCCCATTTTATGAACTGAATATTATACCGTTGTTTTTTTGTTTTGCTAGAGAACTCTAATTTCAGTATAAATATAAATACATTCTCTTTTTTCACTTTGACCGTTGTGTTGAATATTTTGATTCTGTTTCTAGATGACACCTTATCCTACCTTAACCAGTTCATGTCTATTCATCCAAGAAGGCATTATTAAGACACGGTCCAGCCTTAATTGTGCAGCAGAACGTGTGGGATGGAGCCCATGTTGGGAACAGACTTAACCATGAAAGAGGCCCAGATCACAAGCTGACGTCCAAACATTCAAACCTAAAGCCCTTTAATGTGTCTCTTTCATTTAGATGAGATCAAATGACTTGATGTGGCAGCGTTTGATCCTAATCTCACTCACCATTAGTCCAGTGATGGTCAGGGATTCTTTAGGCCTGTGGAGCTAATGAATCCAGGTTGGTTGCTTTCTACTACCGACGTCCACAAGATGGAGCCACTGCTTTGTCTAGCTGCATTAGAACGCTGTGGGAAAGCAGAGGCAGACAAGGAGGGTCGGAGCTTTGGTGATTAGTCTACAATGTCCACTCCATCTTCTTATACGTCAGCTGGGCTTCAAAGGGGAGACATGATGATGAGGATTTAAAGGCTGAGCTGGAGTGTGTGGTTTAATATAGACATGTTGACTTAGTCATCTGGACTGGTCAGGTCAGGTTCACTGTTGAGCTCTAAGTCCAGAGAATGGAGTTTTATCTTTATCCCTTTATGAGAGTTTACTCCACTTTCTCCTGGAGGCCTCCTGTCCTCTCTCCTCTTCTGTCCTCTCCTCCCCTCTCCTCTTGTCTCTCTCCCCCTCTGTTTGTCTCTCCCTGTCTGACTTCTGCCTTCCATATGTGTGTATTTAGCCACATATGAAAACTTTTAACTCCCCTCCCTGCCTCCCTCCCTCCTCTCCCCTCTCCCTGTTTTTTCCCCTCTTGGTGAGTGTGACAATAACATTGTACTTGCACTTGCAGAAGACAGGCCCTGATCTTTGCACAAAGGCTCTTCCTTTGTAGGTCAGCGTTTTCACTGATGTTCCAGCCTCCAGGTGCAGTGGGGTTATGTCAGAGGGTAGGCAGGGCCAGAGTGAGTGTTTGTGTCCCAAGGTCAGACAAGCTTTCCTGAGATGGCCCCAGGCTCAGACCTGGACCCTCTGGCTATGCACCTGGAGGTCAAACTCGGCTACGGATGTCAGTCTGCTTTAATCATCCAGGCTAGAGCTTCTGAGGCTCTACACAGCATTTTCATTTTCTTCTGCGTCTGTGTGTGTGTGTGTGTGTGTGTGTGTGTAGCCCTGGCCAGACTTACCACAGCTTTGATCTCAGGGCCTCAGACTCCAGACACATCTGATTCAATTATCCTCATCCACCTGTTGACTCAGAGGCCCGTGATTGTGAAGCTTGGCCGTCTCTCCAAGTTTCACAGCTGCATGTGTTTGTGTATGTGCATTCAGGTGTGTGTGTGTGTGTGTGTGCTGATCAACTTGTGTGTGATACACAGATGCTGCAGTTTGTTGCAGCTCTTCGTGTATACAGAAGCACAGTGGTGCCATTGGCCATTTTAAGAATCTGAACAATGGCAATGACTGAGGGACGCAACAAAGACCCAATGTATGGGCTCTACAGCACCTCTTAGTGGTCACAGCAAGTGCTACAAATGTGCGTGGTAAAAATGTAATTCATATTCACTGTCCTTATCTTGTTGAGGTTAAATGAATCAAAAACCACCTGATAAAAGTATCTGCTTGTTTAGATTTCATTCTGTTAAATATACAGGAAGGCTCTCACAGCCTTGGTGATTATCTGAGGAGACATTCCTGGCTGTGATAATATCATTAATAATATTTTATTTTAAAAGGAAAATAAATAGGCAGTTACTACAGTGAAAAGGTTAATGTAACTTAAGTCTTTGTCATAATAACATGTCCAACAACATAAACGTTGTTATTTCGTGTAAATGTGTCGGCAACAAATTCCTGGTGTATTTATACCTGCTGTTGTTGACAGTCTCCGCAGCTCCGTGTGCACACGCGTCACTAAATATAAGCAGTCCCCGTTTAAGCTGCTTGTTGAAGCCATGATGGACATAATGAACGACACCAAGAGAAGGCGTATCATTATAAAAAGATTGTACAAGTCGTATAATGGTGCCATGTGGGCCGCGCGTGTAAACAGACTGATGTATGGCGAGCAGAGACGTTTATTGTTCAGATGGGATGAAATACAGACCACAAAACCATGCAACCAATGCCAGATGTTGAAGTGTGTAAATAGCGAGGAACGCTGCCTACGCAAGCACATTCATGCAACACAGAGAGACGAGGGCCGACTCCAGGGACCCGCACACAAACACAAACACACTGTGGCTCAACCTCGCTCGCTCTGACTGCTTTTATTTTATCTTGTCTGTCCAGCAGAAGGCGGTACGGGGAGAAGTCGCCATCACTACCCACGTCCTCCAGTCCCATCAAGCAGTCGTCCAGACACGAAGACAGAAGGGTTAGTCCAACACTCTGCCCTCAGCTGTCCCCCGTCCTCTGGATCCCTCTGACAAAACTGTCTAATCAAATGATTTTTACATGAATAGTTTGTTTCAAGATCCCCGCGCTGACCAAAACCAGTCACAAATGTCATGTTAATGAAAACCATTTTGGAAATTCCTTGTCAAATTTCCCCACCAACTCTGAGGGAATTCCCAGCAGTCAGACACTTTTGGGTTAAAGGTTCAATGTGTAGAACATTTAGTGGTTTTACAGCGTTCAGCTACACGTCGTGGTTGAGGATCACCTTACCTCACCACCGCTGTCCGAGCGTGGAGCGGAACTGATGGCAGCCTTTGTTGTTGTCATTCGCTGCTACGGTCTGATGGAGGACCATGGTGATCGACCACAGAGGTCTGAGGAGAGAAGTTCTGTCCTCGATGAAGAGAGAAAACACACCAGCTAATAATTTAAATAGACGTGGATAGAAATGGTCTCATTCCACAGAGGACGTACACTACATTACAGTACATTTGGCAGACGCTTTTATCAAAAGCGACTTATAATTTGAGTCAGTCAATCAAGCTACAGTAGACATACACAAATACATAAATAATTAATAGTAATAAACAATAACAAGTAGCAAGCAGTGAGTATGTCATAGTAAAAGTACAGTTACAGTCACAGTAGGTCATAGAGAGAGATGTATAAAATAGAAGATAAATTGATCATTTATTAATGACAATAATTGTCCATGGAGGTGTGGCAACAGTGCAGGAGGATGCAGTAGAAATCAGTTTTTATATAACTGTACAGTTACACCAGTTTAGTGTTTTTCAACCTTGGGGTTGTGACCCCATGTGGGGTTGCCTGAAATGTCTAGGAATTAAAAAAATACTGATAAAAACATTTATCAACAAATGATTATTCTTTTGAGAATTATGATTAAAAACACAATATTTAACAACTGTATTTCACTTTCAAATAAAATGCAACATTTAAAAATATCGAGCTAGCTCGTCTTACGTGACGCCTGATGTGACAGTGACAGTTAGTAAAATGTCTCTGGGGTCTCCATAAATCTGTGATGTCAAAATGGGGTCACAAGCCAAAAGGTTGGAAATCACTGCAACCACTGGGTTCAGGAAGATTCCAAGCCCCGCTGGCTGATGGGAGCAAAAACATTATTATAATATTACTATAAAATGTTGATTGAGACAGTCGTTGTGGTGAGTATCAGTCTCGTACCAAATAGTGAATTCAGCACCGTATGTAGAAATATATTCATGTTCCCAGGTGTGTTACATTGTCATAACCTTTTCTTTGGGACCCAGAATCCCTGGCAGCGGCCCTGGTTAGAGTCAGTAAATTGTGGTTACGCTTGTGTTTTTGAAAAGGTGTTTTTTTTTGTAGTACATAAAAACCCTCGGTGTACTGTATATGTTCACGGTAAAACCCTTTAATCTCCACTTGGCACCGGTGTGTGTAGGTCTGTGACTAAAACCATTTGAGGCCA